CTCTGACAAGGCAAGGATGGGCTGTGGATGCCCTGTGCCCATTTTTGCTCCGGAGAACTTTGGAGAAGTTTTTTTTCAAGTTTTGTGCCAAATCTCATCTTCCTCACAAAGAGAACCTGAATGGGGCCAAGTCAGGGCTGTCTGTGCTACAGGACTGGTCTCATCTCTCATGGTGATTACTGTGTGCTCCTGGAGGATCTCTGTGATGACCAAATTAGCAGGAAACTCCAAAAGCCATAATCTGTAATATATAATACATAATGTGCTGCTGCCATATGACAGGGCTGGGAGAGGAAATGAAATGAAAATGGGTCAGGAGTGGGAGGCCTGGGCTGAAATAATTCCCTGTGGTGCCAGGGTCCATTTAAGAGGCAAAACAGCAGCACATTACCAAGAGGGTGTAAGAAAGGTTGTTTTCATAGTCCAAACTGAGCAAACTGGCCCTTCCACTAGCGTTCTCCTCCTCAGCAGTGCCTGCATCCTATGTGTCCTACCTCCCTGCTGGAATGTTTTTGCAGGTAGTGAAGTAGAACAGAGATTCTGAAAGGAGCGAGTTTTTTATCACTGGAAATAAAATTATAAACATACTGATTATATCTTTAAAACAGACTGTTGAAACAAATTTTGGGGGATTTTTGGAGTTATGATGCTTGAGTTGATTTATCTGTGGTTGAATCCAAACCATTTCCTAAAGTCCTCGCATCCCTTCAGCTCTTTATGTCACATCTGTTTTCAGTGAGGTGCAGGTAACTGTTTCCTTTGTAAACTTACCTACTGAAATAGAAATTTGCAGGTAAGGTATTTCAACACAGGGTCTAATACAATGAGGATTTGATGTTTGATGGCTCAACAAGGTACTGCGGGAACATAAATGTAAATCTCCTGAAACAGAGACAGATATTTGGATTGGATAAAATGTTTCCATAGGAATTGCTCCTTTTTTTGAAAGTTTTTGCTGCATGCTGAGAAAAAAAAAAAAAATCTCTCTGAAAAAGCGACATCCCTGGAATACACAATCTGCACAGGAATCTGGTCATAATGCCATGTAGCTGCCAATGAGGTCTTCAACATATGGTGAAACTCTCATAATTCCTGAATAAAGGCACTCAGCATTTCAGCCACTGATGTTCTGAATCTCATCCAATAAAAGAATCCATGGATCCACTTTGATCAGGCGTGTGACAAAGGAAAAGTTTGACTGGAAGACCTTGAATGTCCTGTGGGAAGAATGTGTGATTTACTTATAGCGTGTGTTTAAGGATAAATCCAAGATGTTGTTGCAGAATTAGCTGGAACTTCTCAGTTGTGTGAGATAACAAATAGAATCACAGAGAACATATGGAATTTTGGGCCAAAGGAAGATGATGGACCAGTTATTTTTTGTTGGGTGCAAATTGTTCAGTTACACCAAGAAAATGCTGCCTCTTGGGGATTTTTTAATGAATGTAAGGTTCTAAATGTGAAAAACTCAATAAGAATTTAAGGCACTTTTGCGCAGCAGAGACATTGTCAGGTGAGAAGCTGCAGCATCCAGACACATCTTGAGGTGCTGCAGAGCTTATTGGCTTGGAGCAATTAATTGATCTTTCTCTGAACTCATTTCACACCCCAAAAAAAGCTGAGTTGTCTTCATTTAACATTTTCTTTGGCTATAACCTTTGCTACAAAAACAAAGGTATCCTGATGAGAAATCCTTCTGGATCTCAGGAATTTTAGCTTTTTCTCTGCTGAAAATAATCAAATTAGAAGCATCTGAAGATGTCAGTATAAAAACATACAAAAGAACCATCCAGGACTTCACTGTCATAATATTTCCTGCCTTGGAAAAATTCTGGGATGCTTCAGCACCATGATCATGGGGGCAAAGTTTGAGTAGATGTTCAATTTCTGGAATTATATTTGCTATTTATGGTATCTTATTGGAAATGCTCAGATAGCCACAGTGGGAATTCTTTCCCATATAAAGCAGCTGAGGTGGGAGGACCAAAGTGATAACTTGTGGCTCAGCATGGCCACATTCTGGTTGATGGCTAGGTCAGACTCTTTCTGCCAACTCTGTTTGGATCATGAAGACTCTACATCCTGCACATGGACAGGGAGAGCAGAGTCTACACCAATAATCTCAGTAGCATCATGTCACCCTCACAAAAAACATTTATTTTACTGTGTGACTTGAAAATGTTTCCAGTGTTGGTGCTTTGATTCAGTTGCACCACCAGGAAAAGCTTCCCTTGCTCACTGGCTGTGTGGCTCCTTGGATTCTACATGTAAAGTTGGGAATTTAATGGACTCTCCCATAGGAAAGAATGCATTAACTACAGGTCAGCAAACTCTGGTTATTGGGTTGTTTCACACCGAGAGCTGTTATTACCCTGTTGCTTTTAAGGTGCCTGTTTAAAGGTAATTATTTAGTCTGTCCAAAGCCGTGTGGAATTCCAACACAGCCTCTGCTCCCTGGCGTTAATGATGCAGCACAGTCACAGCTCCATGTTACCCTTGGTTTGCCCTTGGGACAGCTGACTCTTAGGGATTGAAGAGTTTCTCTCTTTTTCACTTGTCAAGGATTAGTATGTGGTTTCCCTAGATTTGTCATTCATTCAAAATTAATCCAAAAAAGATGTGGGGTTTTTTTTTTGTTTCATTCCCCTTTAGAATTGAAATTCCAGCGTGTTTTGTAACAACCGTAGAAACCCTGAGTCTTGATCTATTTTTATTTGTTGACACAATCCTATGTATTTTCCCACGATGAGATTTGTAATCAGCATGGGAATTTATACCAGGGTTGAGCCTGGAATTGTGTAAAATGTTTTTTTTCTCTTAGGATGGAAAGGGAGAGGACATGTCAGGGGATGGTCTTGTTGGACAGTGAGCTGGGAGGGGACTCCAGTACAGACAAGAATTGGCCTTCCATGACCCCTGACTCTTCTGAAGTGTCTCTGTGGGCCTGCAGGAATGAGGGTGTCCAAAATTTTGGGAAGTCTTGATGTTTTAGAAAATTGCTCCTATGTGGTGTGTCCGTTACTCATCTTGAGCATCTGATCAACAAGTGAATCCAAATCATGCAACTTCCTCCTACTCATAGGTCATTGGAGATGTCCTGGCCTTTCAGGCACCAGACTTTTCCTCATAAAACGTTCCAAAGACTCACAGGTACCCAAAAAGGAAAATGAGGAGGGAGGCATTTTCCACCCCATGGATGTGGTATGTAATTACTGGAGGCAGATCCTGATTCTCTGTCTGCATTGCTCATCCGTGCTGTGTCTAAGAATTCCTTGATATTCAAAGTGCCCCAGCCAAGCCAGGTTTGCATAATGTAATTAAATTAGGAAATGATATTTCATGCCTGGATATTACAGTGCACACACACACACACACTTTCATCCTGTGTTGGAGCGTCACTTGCTCTGCTCTGATACCGTGCACCAGAGGATGTCTGCAAATGGAATTATTTCAGGATAGTTATCCTAAATAACTCTATGTAGGGAAACCTGTATTGTAGCACAAAAGCACCTCACTCTCCTTTATCATAATCTATTTAAATGTGGATTATGCTGATGCAAAACAGGGTGCTCCTACTTTGGAATAATTTTAAATAGGAATAATTTTTGTGCTTTTGGCTCACACCCTGCATTATCCAAACTGACTTTGAAGTGTAAACAAGCCTCTGATGTGATGTGTAGTATTTCTATTCTGCTCCCCGACTCCTCCTGGTTTCTTGGTTCTTTCTTTGGGAAGGTCCAGAGCAAAACCAGACCTGCAGAGCCTGTCATTTAGGTCTTTGCTTTGACAAACCTCATACCAAGGGATGTTTCCAATCCATTTCCAAATTTTAATGCCTCTCTAAGCTTTGAAGGGAATATTTAGATGCCAGTTTCTGACTCTGAGCCATCCCCACAGATTCTATTAGGACATTAAATGTTTCCTTTCACACTTTTCTGAAATGGAGGTTTGTGTTTCAAACCTCCTGTGGTCTCTTTCGGGACTATTTGAGGCTTTCCCTCTATTACCATCAGCCTATTTTGCACCTCCAGAGAAACTTGTGGGGTGCAGCTCTGAGAAGGGTCCAATGCAGGGAGTGCTGCCATATCTCAGTCCCTCCATCTGCCCCTTTGTGAGGAGCAAGGATGTGTAGTGAAGACAGCAAGGAGGCTCCCTAAAATCACCCTCTTCCATTGTGTCAAAAGTCATTTTTACATCTGTTCCCATGAAAAGTCACAGCTTCTTACCTGAGGCAGGTAAGACTTACTTAAACCTGCTTTCTGACCATTTCATGGACCAGTCTCTTGGTTTGGTGTCATCTTTCCCTGTTTGTGTTCTTTTATCCCATTGTTTTCCACACCTCTGTCACATCCTGCACATGTGCTTCCTCCCTGGTCCAGCCCTTGGTCCTGCCTTGCATGGGAGTTGCTCCCACCTGAGTTCCCCATGGATTTACCAGCTGGATTTTACCAGATCTGTAAGTGCCATTCAGGACAGAGCAATACAGGGCAAGCACACAGATGTCATGTGACATAATCTGGTTTTTGCTTTGTTAATCCTTTTTCTCACCGTTCCCATCGTGTTTATTTCTAGGCTCTGTGAGTATGAGGTGCTGCTGCAGACTCCTGCTCACGGTGACACCACAAACACAACTAATTTGGAGCTTCATTTCCTGGAGATCAGTGGGGGCTGTTTTATCTTCTGTTTTATCACTGATACCATGAGGTCCTTCTGCAGCTCCTCACAGACAGGTTTAGATTTGACTACCCTGAGTAGTTCTGAAGCATCAGCAAACTCATTCATCTCCACTGGCGCCAGTTGGCTCAGCATGAGGGCTGGGGACTCTGGGCAGGAACACCAGCTCCTGAGCTCTGTTTGTGGCAGCACTCAACTCCCAGCCATGAAACTGGAAAATTCTTTCTTAAATCTATGCAATTTTATATAATTTCCATGTAGCAAACTATTTAATCCCTTTTAAGATACAACCACAGAGGCAAAGGATCCTTCTCACAAAGATGGAGGTGCTTTCTTCAAATAAAAAGAGGTTTATTAAGAGAATGAGAATGACATTGTAGTGTGGGTGTTGTACATCTATTGCAGCATTAAGAGATACAACAGCAAGTACAAAATCCTGCAGAACTTCTAGAGTTATCATCATCACAGCCTAGCTTGTCCATGCTACAGTTTGGTGGATCCAAAACTTCATTCCCATTTCTAATGGCAAAAAATCCAAAGATTTTCATCTTTCAAAAGAAAAAAAACCCAACCCAAAACAAACAAACAAAAAAGGCAAAACAAAAAACTCAACTCAATTTGATATAAATAACTTGCACTGGACATTTTAAAACTTTCAGATTTTAATTACACATAAATAAATATATACAGATTTGGCAGTTCAGTTTGGCCTAGTTCAAGTTCTGCTCCTTGTGCTTTATTTACTATTATTATATCTAATTTTAGAAACTTGTATGCTATTATCTGTAGCTTGTGGAGTTTTATTTAGTCCTGGGTTTAACTTCACCTGCCTTATCCCCAGCCAGGAGGGCAGCAGTCAGGGGGACTCCCCTCAGTCCTGCCCTGGGACTCATTGGCTGTGTGGTTGTTCCTGCCTCGTGGCTTGGGGCTCCTCAGTCCACAGGAAAATCCACAGTGAGTCTCAGTTTGAAGCTGTAAACAAAGCCTGGATCTGCTTTAAATCCACAGCAGTTCTGCCAGCAATTTTCCTTGGCCTGGCATCAGGGCTGGGCTATGGGTGGGGAAATGGGAAGGTTTCCTGTGTGTTTGCCTCAAAACCAGCACATAAATCCAGGTAGAGCCAGGGTTCCGTTCCCCTGCCCTCGGCTGCTCCTGCTCCTCCTGCTCTGGGTCTTGCACTGATGAGGCTTTTGCTCTTTCCTCTCAGTTTTTCATTTGGAACAAATTCCTCGAGCACAGAAGGATTTCACTATGGATTTCTTTAAAAGCAAAATAAAATCAAATTGCACATGACTTGGGTTCCTCCATCCATGTAACAAAAAAAAACCCAAAACCCAAAACAAAACAAAACAACAACAAAAAAAAGGCAAAACCCCAAAGCCATCAGCCTGGCTTCTCTCAATCTCATTACGTTCATTAGCACTGTTTTCTTCTTAAATTCTTTAAGTCTTCTTTTTTCCTGTCTTTTCTTTGTTTGCTTTACGAGTTTCCTCACACGTTCAAAGTCAGCAGTTTAGAAAACAGTGCACTGGGTCATCCTTCCCCCTGGAGCCATTGCTGGTGCCCAGGGAAAGCTGGCACCGGGGGAGGCAGTGCTGTTATTTCCGATGCTTCACCTCTTTGTCTGATGCTTTGGAGTCCCCGGTCGTGTGCCCGTTCCCTGTGCTGTTCATGAATATTTTATCCAGCCCTTTGAGGGACTCTACCAGGTAGTTCTGGAAGGCAGTGAGGGCGGCACAGATGGCCGGACCCCCGAAGCCATGGGTTATCAGGCTGAAATGAGTCAAACAGCTCTGGACTCCGGGCTCCAGGATGAGCGAGGGGCGGCTGTTCCCCAGCGGAGAGCGATCCTGGGCTATCAGGTCTGCAAACTCCTTGCAAATTTGCCTGAAAAAGAGAGGTTTGGTCACTAGTATGCATATGGAGAGCTGCAGGACACAGTCATGGAATCATAGAACAGTTTGGGTTGGAAGGGATTTGCAAAAAGATCATGCAGTTCCAAACCCTCTGGTGTGGACACCAGGTTGCTCAGAACTTCATCCAACCCAGCATTAAACGCTTTCAGGCATGGGGCATCCACAACTTCTCTGGGTGTGTTTTGGGGTTCCTTTCTTGATTCCTGCCTGAGCAGCCACCTCTCCACTGGGAGTTTTTTGGCTTTATCCTGGCAAAAGCCCCTGAGTGCAGAACTGGAGCCACTGCTGCTGCTCCAGCTTTGAAAGGGCACATGAGGCAGTACCAAAATGCTCCCTGGGGCTGGGTTACCCTCTCTCATGCAGGAGCAAACCCTTCAATTTGTGCAGGCCATTACCCCTGCTGGACACCTTCCTGCAGTGTGAGCCCATTTCTTCCCCACAGAAGAGCAAAGTTTGGGGGCTAATGCTGCCCTCCCAGGCTGCAGATACTGAATGCACCAGTGGCTCGTTGCCCTCTGTACTCACTTGGTAGCCAGCAGCATGTTTTTCCTGGTGTGGAGCTCCGTGGGGTCGGAGTGCTGCCGGCACAGGTACTCTGCCGCCGCCTTGGCCGGAAACTCGGTTTCGCAGACGTAGCCGAAATCCCGAGCCAGGTGAATAGCTTCACCTGCGAGAGGACAGAGGAACATCAGCACTGTGCCAACATCAGTGTGACGGAACTGGGAACTTCTGCAGAGCTTTAGCCATCTCACTGTTGGGACTCAGTTCTGGTAGGACTGGGGCCCTTCCCTGTCTCAGTGGCCACCCAAGAGCTCTCCCCACCTTCATCTCTTGCTGCAGAAACACCACTGAGTTTCTTATTCTTATCTGTAAGGCAATTAGTCTGTGTAGGCCAAGTGAGCCAGTGTCAGCTCTAAACAGCATCTGGGTCCTTCCTTTACTACCTTTTACAAAAGCATCAAGACACTGCTGGCCTTGGAGCAGGATGAGGTGTGACTCTGGGCACCTGCTCCAAAATGAGGAATAGCAGAGGCGTTTCTTACTTGGGAACATCCCCTGCTGAATCTTTCCCTACTTCTTCACAAATTTCCTGCTTGGCCTCTCCAAACTGAGAAGAGATTGAAAGGGAGACTGGAGGGTCAAAGAGTGACCTCAGCCCCGTGACTGCTGGACGAGGCAGGGCAGGAGGAAGAGGCAGGAGGAAGGGGGTTACATCCCCCACAGTGCCCAGGGGCCCTCAGGCTGGACGTGTAGGCAGCGTATCCATCACCCTGTGGAAATGCCCACCCATTGATGGAATTGATCCATCTCCAGGCGTCCCCGTGGAAATAATCAGAACTGATGGCAATTGATCATGCCCAACACCCGAAATCCCAGTCGGGCAGGCAGAGCTAATTTGCCTTGCCCCCCTGCTGCTCACACGTATTAGGCCATCCATCCTAATAGCATTAACCCAGGTCCCATCCCAGCCTGCCTGGCTCCTGGAGCTCAGTCTGTGGAGCCCTGTTATAGGAAAGTGTCCCTGCTTCCCACATAACAACAGTACTTCCCACTTCATCTCCTCCTCCAGAGAAAGAGCAAATAAGGTAAACCTAAAGTATCAGAATTGCAGTTGTTTGTGCATTAAAAAAACAGTCAGAAAGGAATAACTGCTGAAAAACTGACACTGGGATAATAATAAAGAGCTGGGTGACCTCATGATCAGAGCTAGGGCTGGAACCAGGATATATTTCTTCCATGAGTATGTGAATGGCTGCACATTTTAATGTTTTTTAAAGGCAATTTGGATGCTGGATTAGAGAAGTGCCAGGGGGGACAGGGCACTCTGGCTTTAGTGTTAAAGACACATTGAGCCAGATCTTGAGGAGGAGAGGCTGCGGCAGATTGCACAGAGGGCCATGGTGGGCAGGGGGGCAGCAAGAGCCTGGCTGAGGGCAAACCTCCTTCCAAGAGCTTAGGGATGTTTCTGGAGAGGAAATACAGCCCTGCTGCTCCCCTGGGTCCAGGCTGGAGGTGCTGTCTTGCCCAAGGGAGGGTGAGTGCTTGGTATACGTGGTGAGGACTCCCAAGGGAGCTGTTTCTACCTGGTGCTCCCTGGGTTCTCCAGGAACATCCTCCCCTTCTGTATGAGTGGCTGTGGGTTGGTGTAAAAAAAAGTATTCCAATAGCACTCAAACACAGACACTGGTTCTTTTAAATAATTAGACCTTAGGAAGGCAGAGGGGAGAAAACAAATTAAGCCAAATCAGCAAATGTTCAGGAAAGAGTGTGTTTGGGCCAGAGGGGCACAAGCCAGTTTGTGTGCGCCACGTTGCTCTGGGTGGAACATCCCCTGCTTCCATCATGCTTACAAGCAGGAGGAAATTATATCCATCAAACACACATGGCATCACTCCTATTTGCTGTGACCAGGAAGCAGAAACCAAAACATCAGCAGCCACTTGAAATCAAACTGTACATTTCTTCCTTCCTTTCTTTCCTTCATTCTTTTCTTTCTTTTATTTTCATGGAAATCAGCCTTTCATTCAGCACGAACCAACTGCCCTGAGTAATAACCTCCGCCTAATGAAGCAGGTCATTTAATTTGCTGGTGACAATGGAGATGATTTTCTATTCAGGATCCACAGGCAGCTGCCTGCACCGTGCCGGCATGGACACAATGGATTCCTGAGCTCAGAGGGGGCAGAGCTGTCATTCCATTTGTTTGCATCTCCATGTGCTTTTCTCCCAGGATGCAGAGGCAACATCATCATTTCCATGGTGGAGAGAAGTAGGAGGGGAGGAAGTAACTGAGTTAGGCAGGGGCACCTCACATGTCCGGGCAGGGCTCTGCCTGCCAGGGCAGCACCTTTTCCATAGTTCTGAGGGTGGCTGCTACACACCTGAGCTCCACCTGCAAAACTTCAGAGCAGTTTGACATCTCCATGGTGTCTCACTCATTTCCTGGAGGAGGGAAGGACTTACATATGGGGATTTCCTTCTTACAGGCACCATGACACAGACCTGAGCTTGGGATGCTGCCCGAGGGTGGTGTGGTCGAAAGCTCCGCTGTGCCATAGGTGGCCTCACGGGGATGCAGAGCAGCTCGGAAATTCTTGGCAGCTTTATTCAGGCTATGTTTTGTGTTTGGTGTCTGTGACCCAACTATTAAAACCAGCTCAAAGAAATGAGGGATACCTGAGCTCCAGCCAGAAGGATGCTCACAGTCCTGCTTGGCATCCATGAGGATGCCTTTTCCATGGGCCATATCTGATCCAACAGAAATGGCTGAGTTTTGGAAAACAGACATGGAAGCATAGAGTTCTAGAATGGTTTGGGTTGGAAGAGACCTTAAGGATCATGCAATTCCAACCTCCTACCTTAGGCAGGGCAGCCATGTTTGGACATTTTCTTGGACATTTGGTGTCTTCGTTTCATTTGCATTCTGCTCACTGCCTTCCCAAGAGTCTGCTCATTTAAAAGGACACATCCTTGAATCAGTGTGGAGACTTACCCAGGGACATTGACATGCTCATTCAGTGATGACCACTCTGTATTTTAAGTGTTCTGGTTTGTGGAAAGCTGGAAATTAAGGGGTTGGAAGTTTCAGCACTCCACCCTCCATGGGAACAGGGAGAGACTCTTACCTTCCACAAGGGATGTGAGCAGGGTGACGTTGGCAGCTTTGCGCCTTCCTGCAGGTAGATTTAGTCCAATTTTCTCTAACCTTTCCCTTAAACACCGGCCTCCATTTTTTGATTTAGCTCTGAAAAGAGAAAACAAAGAGGGAAAATAAATTTCCATGTAATTAATGTTAAAATAACCATAATCCTAGTTTAAGGTTTGAGGTTTGAAAGGAAAGAAGAAAAAGCAGTAAAAATACTATTTCTTAATGTACCACACACCAGAATTTCTCATCTCTCTATCTGAGGTAAGAGCTGCTGCTGAACACAAATCTTGGGGCTCTTGGGGCAGCTTACCTGCGGAGCACCCCGCCGAGGAGAGAGGCGTTGAGACACTCGGGGGGCGAGAGCCTCCTCTGCACCTCCCCAACCGTCACCTTGTACTTGGAAGTGGAGCTGAGGAGAGAGAGGCGCCCAGGCACGGAGCAGAAAACCTCATTGGGGTTCGTGACCCCTCCAATCAGGCCGTCTTTGTTCATGGACAGCGTGGAGATGGTGGTGCCATTGGCCTTCGAGGGGATGGGCACTGGAGACAAGGAAGAGGGAGAGAAGAGGAGACCACGGCTGAGAGACCAGACTCTCCAGGCAGCAGCACAGATGCTGGGATGTCTAATTAGTTCCTTATTTTCCTCAATGAGAGAAGCGAGGTGGGGTGATGAAACCAAACTAAATAAAGGTTAAAGGAAAGGAAGAAGTCTGTACGCTGCCCTCGCCTGCGTTCCCACACCTCCCAGCCCAGCTGTAATTAAAGCCAAGGTTTGGGCTGGTCTTCTGGAAGGCTGAGGATTGTCTGCAGCTGGACATGTGACCAGCTGCCTTCCCTGTCCCCTCTGGGTGCTCTGTGAAGGTGGGTGGCTGGGCAGAACGTGGCTGGTCCTGCTGACAAGGATGCCGATCCTCTCCAGGGATTTCAGCTGCAGCCCAGCTCTGTGCCAGAACCTGCTGCATCCCACCGGGCAGAAATTAACCACCTGAGCCAACACCACCATTCCCTGTCCCAAACCCAGGAGCTGCTGGGCTGGCTGAGAGCTGTGCTTTCATGATATGCCCATGGGAACCAGGGGAAAGAGTTTCTTTGCCTTCAGTTCTGGGATTAGCCCTGCAAATAGCCATAGCCCTAAACTTTCATCATCCCTGGCTTAAAGGAAGCTTCAGAAGATCAAACCCAATTAATCCAGCACAAACTTCCCTTTGCTTAATGGGAAAAAGTCAATTAACACAAGGTTAGGCAGGCACTGGCTACTGCAGCATCTCATTGGGCCTACGGCATCACACCGGGACAAAGGGGCTCAGCTTTCCCATTTGTCATTCCATAAGAAATGTTCTTAGATACAATAAAGTTTTATAAGTTAAAATTGTGGCTGAGACTTGTGCCAAATCTATTTGGCTTTTATGCTCTGAAATTAATAACCAATTTAACTCAGGGGGAAAAAAAACAGATTTTGAAAGAATCCAAAGATCATTTCAGCCCTGGCATTCTTTGTGCTTCCTCAGGAATGTCTGTTCCACAGTCAGATGGTTCCTGCAAGTAATGCAGCAGTGAATGCCATGGTTTATAAAGGAAATACGTATGCCCAAAATGAAACAGAAGCCCTAGGATTAATCAGGGAGGATACATGGACTGGACCTATGAGGGGGTGTTTACAATCGGCATATTGTAAATCCAGCTCAACGACCTGCTAGCATGGCAATAAAAATCAGCACATGCTACATAAAAATGACTCATGTTTTAAGACTAAGGGATGAATGGAAAGGAGCTGAAAGACATGGAGTTTCCTCTCAGCACAAAACTTGTACAAAGTCAGGGAGCAAAGGGTAGGATGCACCAGTGCCCTGCTGGAGCCTGTGGTCAGTTTTTGCCATGACTGAGGTTGGTTCAGGGCAGAACACACACAGGAACATCCCCCTGAGACATAGGAAACCAGAATTATTTCCAGGAAGGAGCAACTTCAAAGCTTTCTTCCGCAGTCCCAGAACAGGTCAGGTTAGTCTCTAGGGGATCCCTTAAAATCAAAAGTCAGAGCATGGTTTGCAAATATCCGTGCAGAGGTGCTGAGGTAGGAGGCCCTGAAGGGTCCCAGCGATTGGGTTCTGCTGCAGAAAGGGCCACCCCCAAACCAGACATCCCTGGAGAGCAGGTGTTGCTTGTAGTATCACAACTGCTATGCTCTGTAAACTGGATTATATTTGGATACATCTGTGCATGCCTGCATTCATGCTGTGGCTGCGCTCAAGCCGCATGCGTGGCCGGGGACCTGTGCACCCGAGGGACAGCAGAGCCATGCAGGGAGAGGGATCATGCCTCACCACACATCCATGGCACACGGCAGCTGGGGAGGAGGCAAACCCAGCTGGTACCAGCGTGACTTAACACCAGAGCCTATGGAAAGCTGGGCTGGAGAACGGTTGGACATAACTCTGTGCTAGCCAGTCACCCCACAGGCAGTGACAGGGAAGCAAAGATGGTGTTGATGTGCGGCATGGAGACACAACACTTGGCAAACACATACTGGAGGTTTTAGGAATGATGCTACTGTCAGAAACAAAGCTCTGGAAAGCTGTGCCCTGCAGCCCACTGCTGTGAAGGGTAAAGCCCAGCACAGCTGGGTCAGCCCAGTTCTGTGCCACAAGAAAACCAGGCAGGCACCAGCACTGAGCATGGATTTTGGCATTGCTCTTCTGCCTCGAAGCCTCAGCCAAGGCCACAACCCCATCACTTTGGGCACATGCAGGTGTGGGACAGGGCTCCTGCATTAGAGTTTGTGCCCTCAAGGGGCACACAGGATGGGAGGGAGGGAGGAACGGAGCAGGCAGCAGTGCTGGGAGCTGAGCTGGGCCCCAGAGTCCTGCAGCAGTGCTTCATCCATTAGACAGCATTGCCTCAATACAACAAGAATAAACAAAGCCACATTCGCCATTAATCATGAATTATTGTTATTGAGCCTCACCTGCTGCTGTTTGCCTGGTCTGATCTGCAGCTTGTTTGCCCATAAACATGCTGCAGGAGGGAGACAAGCTACCATTAAAGCCTGACAGCTTTGTTTCCTTGGCTTTTGGGGAACCAAAATTGTCTCTTGTCATCTGAGTAAACCAAAAGTCCCCCTCGATCTTCAGTTGTTGCTTTCCTGTTCCCGCAAGCAGCAGGTGATCGGAGCACCTGAGCCAGCCTGCAGACAAGAAGGAAGCATGAGAGCAGTGCGGGCGCCCAGCACGCGGCCGACAGCCCAACGCCCCGGCGCCGACCCCCTGCGCCCTTCCAAGCCCAGCCAGGAAGCACTCGGTGCTGCTCCCGCTGCCTCGTGCCGAGGGCTCATCCTGGCTACGGCACAGAGCAGCGACCCTTTGGAGCAGTGATGAGGTTTGAGGCACTGAACAGCCCCAACGTGAGTGGGGGGCCTGCAGTGTCATTGTGCCCAAGCGAAGGACCTGAGACCCATGTGGTGCTTTGCAGCTGAGGATAGAAACGCCACATCATGTCACTGCACTCATTTGACACTTGTTTTTGGCAGAGTAGGATATCACGTTTCCTGCAGTGACCCAGCTCTCCCCTAGCTCGTCCCCTTGGCAGGAGCCTGGGCAGGCTCAGGTTCCACCCCTGACCATGGAAGATGGGCTTCTCAGCAGAAACTCATCCCAGAGGTGCTCGTGCATACAGTGACAGACCAACACGCTACAAAGGCTGGTGAGGAAGGGTTGGATGATGGTGCCCAAGCAAGCGCCCCTCCAGCCCTGCCTGGTGAGTGGGATGGGGTACCCCTGGGTCACCCTGGCCCACCCCAGGAAGCTATAAATGGCAGGGCACAAATGACAGTTTGGGTTGATTCAGCCAAAGAAAGGGGTAGAAGGAGACCTCAGACCTTTAACAGATGCTCAGAGCACTCCTGGGGAGTGCAAGTCCTCTTTGTTATCTGTTCTTGTTATTTATCAGTTATTATTTATTGATGCTTGATTGCTTTACTCTGTCCTCCTAAAGATTTTTGGGGTTTTTTTTCTCTTTTCCTAAACTGCCTGGCATTCCTGAGAGGGTTTTTCCCATGGAAGTGTTGTTTATTCAGATTAACCCTGCTACTTCTAAATCAGCAAATCCAGGTGAGCTTGACTGCAGATTTCAAAAACTAAAGCCCCTGTGAAGCATTTTAACCTGCCTTGGGGATGCTGCAGGTGGGCTGGACACAGGTAAGCACTGGCATGGGTCAGAGGGGTCAGATCTGAAAGGGAAAACAGATTTTGGAATAAAGTTATGCTGGCAGACCTCAAAGGGCTTCACGCGTTGCTGATCCTCAGCCCAGTGCTGGTACAGCACCAGCCACCAAAGCCATTAACTCACTCCTGACTCAAGCCAGCTCCTTAGTGCAGCTGGGGAAAATTGAGGCACAGAGCAAGTTAAATTATTTACCACAGCTCAGGTACATGGGCTTGATCTGTGTGTGTGCAATTCCAGTCTGTGGGAATGCCTTTCTAAGCAATCCAGGCTTTCAGCTACTGCCCAATTGTTGGGAAGTGCTGTGCTGCAGGCTGACTATGTACAGCCTCTGTTTCCATAGCTCTGGATTTTCTGTAAGAAGCTGTGAAATCGAGCTGTTTGTCACCACATCATCTTGGCTCCTGGTGCTGTGGTGATTTGGAGAAGGTCAGCATGGCAGTAACAGGCATACAGCAGAATCTTGCTGAGTGTGGTAAGGAAAATGATCCTCATTTCTTCTGTACACCTCACAGGAGGTGTTTTCATCAGACTCAGCCTCTCAATCCAGCCTTGAACCTCACAGGGCAGGTGCTACTTGCAATCCATCGTCTTCCAGGTGTGTGCAAGCAACAGTGGAGAGACCCAAACTCCCACATAAGTCACTTGCCTCTGTGCTTGTAGCAGGTACATGTGACTTCATCTTCCCTGTGAACCACAAAGTTTGTGATCTCCCATTAGATGAGCCTTTTGTGTTGAGTCAGCTCTGGTTTGCCTTTTTAACGTATCCTGGTGTAACTGTCAGATGATGAACCTCCACAACTGCATTTGCTGTGGCTCAAAAAAACCCTGATGCAGAGGGAGAGTGATTTCAAACTAGTCCTGGTGTCTGAAACACCAAGGGCTTTACCCCTGGACTTTCCTGAGCTGGAGAACACCCTGCCAGCCTGGGGTTATGTCCTTGTGTCTGGCACTGCCAGAGCAGAATTGTGTTATGACACAGGACAAGTCACTATCCCAGTTTGGGCTTGACTGTCTCCAGCAAGAAATTGCAGATAATAATATAATAATGTCTGCCTGGGAAGGATGCTGTGATACCAAATTAAAACTTGCCAGGTAATCTCTGGTGAGAGATTTCTCCAGGAGAGAAGTACTTGGGTGTTGAATGCAGCCAGGAGGAGTCAGTCTAGCACCTGAGCACAGGATGTGATGATGCCCCTTGGAGCAGACAGTCAATGGACAGACAATTCCCATGAACAACAGGAGTCCTGATACCTCCAGCGATGCTGCAGGTGGGATGAGATGTCACAGCCTTGTCTCCCAGAGGGTCTTCCAGGAGACAGCTGGGAGAATGATATAAACACAGCTGAATGAATTGCTCAGCTGTGATTCCAGTGAATGGAATAAGGAGCCTCATGCCTTCCAAGTGTCACAAAAGAAAGCACAAAGTTTCTGCCACTCCTGTTCCGGCTTGCTGAGGTAGATCCTGTGGCTTTTAAGTTCGAGGAAGGAGCAAAACAAGCCCATTCTTCAAAGGCTTTTACCTGGAAAACCTTGGAGGATTTCCTACTTTTGCCCAGTGAAATCCAGCATGAACCGAACGGCAGCCCTCTGCTTCCTCATCCTCCCTCTCCTGCATGGTCCAGGCTGAGGATGCTCCATCCCTTAGCTCCTGCATTCCTTCTCCTTCCTCATCTTTGTTCACCAAAGTTTGTGGGTGAAATCACCATTGTGATTCCTGGAAATGGACACTTTGATATGGAAATATTCGGTGAAGAAGATGCAGCTGCAGCCCGGCTCAGTCTTTGGTGCGGGGATTGCCAGGAGCTGCAGGAGCCAGTGTCCGTGATCAGGGCTGGCAGCAAGCCAGAGACTTTTGGGTCTAAGGGAAAAGAAATTTTGCCTACAAGAAGAGAAAAATACCAAGTATTGACACGTTTCCATAGGAGAAATGTGCTGCCTGCTTGCAAAATGATTTGTAAGCAGGAAAATTTGTGGTACTTGGGAAGTGAGTTGCTTATCGTGGTGTTATTTGTTCTGTTCCATTTCCAGCTGGAGCTCGGGGTGCTGTGAGGGGAAAAACAGGTCCAGAGGGAACATGCAAATCGCTGCCCGTCTTACAAGTCTGTTTTCTTCTCTCCCCAGATAAACTACAGGTAAATTCTCTTCTTCGGTAAGGCGGAATCCCTGGATATCGGAGCTTTTATTGCGACATCCCTTTAAAAGTGGGAGTGCTCTACTGTCGAGGTTGCATTTTAAAAAGGTATCAGTGAATCGCCTTAGGAGACAACCTGGGACAAAGCAATCGCTCATCTTCAGGCACAACAGCGCTGTCTCCAGCCCCCCACCAAAGGCTCTCAGCCCCGCCGCTCTCCAGGACCTTGCCCCGGTCACCTCGGCTGCTTCGGGCGTCGCTGCGGGGCCGAGACCTGAGCCGTGCTGCCCGGCAAGGGGACACCTGCACCCTCCAAACCTGCCTCAGGTGCCGAGATTTTGGTTCCGTGACTCTGCAGGTGCAGCGATGACAGCCCCAAACCCCCCGGTTTGTTCCCTGGCCGGGGGTCCCGCTGGTTTGAGCCGCCTCGGGCCGGGCTGATGATGGATGTCGGTGTGCAGCCCCTGATGAAAGTGCTGCAGAAAGCTGAGGGATTGCTGTTGTCTTCCAGGAAGAGCTGTCAGTGAGCTCATCTAACCTTCATTTGAATGTCTCTGATGTAAATTACAAGATAGAGTTACATATGTATATAAAAAAATGTATCTGGATGTGGGTATGAGCCAGGGGCAGCTGCTCCCGCCGTCCCTTTAAAAGCCCTTTTCAGGGCGAAGGTACTGCAGAGTTCAGCTGCTCCAGTTTCCTGATGTTTCAGCAGAGAGGTATTTATTGGTGGTCCAGGAAAGGAGGTCAGAGCCATCAGCTGTATTTCAAACTCGCACTCTGTAATTATCCTCTCTTCCCGGAGGGGATTATACAGGTACTCTCTTTATCTTGAATGCACAACCTGAACCAAGTCCCCTTGTCAAAGAGCCTCTCTAGGAACCACCATCATTGGCCTTTTCAAATGGAAGGATGGAAAGAATCTTGGTTTTGTCTGTGGATTTTCGAGATCGCTGAGTTCTGATAGGGAAATGAATCTCGGACCCTTGGAAGAGAGCAGGTATACAACCTCAAACTATTCCCATGAGAAAACTAATCAGGAGAGGTCCCATGCCTATGCAAAGCTCCTATATTTAACATTTTGTTTCCCATGCAAATCCATTCACTGGGTTGGGAAAGAAATATGAAGTTGACATGTGATATTAATTCCATTCTTCATTCTGTACCTCTGTTTGACCCAGTGAAACCCCAACCATGTGTCACTGCAGGTGTCTCCTGCGGAGCTTTGGGATGGATCAGTGGAGCAAGAAGGTTCAGACTACCCCAAATTCATGGGTTCAATGGTGTGGTTAACATGGGCCCTGCTGAGTACGTTGTGCTTTGATAGGAATGGCCAGCTGATATAATATTAAAATTTACTCAGCCCCCTGTGCTCCTGCAGGATTTGGGATTGAGATTAGAAAGTGCTTTGCAATTGATAATTTTAATTGATAATGCATTTTCCTGCTTCATCATTTAGGAATGACTCAGTCTCAGATATGCTGTTGTTCAGAATAGTTTCTCCGTTTTTTGGAAACTGCTCACAATTAACTTGTGGTGAGTACCCACGTTTCCTTTCCATGCTTCATTTCATGGAGTGAATTCTGCTGTCTGGGGAACCCTGATGTCACACCTGGAGCAGTAACCGCAGAAACACTTCACTGGAAGGCACCAAACATCAATGATTAAAATGTGCCCCCTAAACAGTAAAACTCAGGTAATCTGAACCTTTGAAGGGAATGAATGAAAATTATTTGAGTTCTGCTTTTGAGTGACTAAGTGTTTGGAGATATTTCCTGCACTGTTGGTTGGAAGCCACCCCAATGCAGCAACTTCATTGGACAAGTCAGTTT